CAATATTTGTCCTGTTTTTAATGGTTCTTCTATGACGAATACAAGGTCATCCGCAAATGCTTGGACCTTGTATTCCTCTTTTACTTTTAACACCTTTATCTTTTTATTTGCTCTAATTTTTATCAATAGATTTTCCAATGCCAAAATAAAAAATAAGGGTGAGAGTGGACAACCCTGCCATACTCCTTTATTTCAAAAAAATTAGTAGTCTCCATTTACCATTATACTTGCTTTTTGCTTTCTATATATGGAAGCTATTATGTTTTCAAATCTCTTCCCAAATTTCATGTTTTTTATTTGTTGGAGCATAAATTGCCAATTGACCTGATCAAAAGCTTTTTGTGCATCCACAGAGCTACCTGCCTCTCTGGATGCACATCGTAATATTCTAATACATTAATTACTGTTCTTATATTATTTTTTATTTGTCTCGTTGGTAACAACCCGTTCTGGTCTAGGTGTATCCTACAATTCAATATTTTTTTCATCCTATTTGCCATTATATTCATAAAAAAATTGTAATCAGTGTTTAATAAAGAGATTGGTCTGTAATTTTTTATTTGTGTTATATCTGCTCCTTCCTTCGGTATCAATGAAATGTATGCTTCTCTCCATGAGTCTGGTAGCTTTGCCTCTATTAATTCTTCATTGCATGTTTCTAATAATATCCAATCTAATGTTTCTCCTAGTCCTTTATAAAATTCACTTGGTATTCCATTGGTCCCTGATGTTTTATTATTTTTTTGTTTCTTGATCGCTTCTCTTAGCTCTTCTATGATAGCCCTATTTAATATCTCCTTTTCTTCTTCTATTAAGATCGACATTCCCTCTCCACTTAAATATTTATTTATTTTTTCATCTGTCACTCTGTCTTGTTCAGAGTTTTTGAAAAAACTGATATGCTATTTCTTTTTTCTTTTCTAAGCTATACTGCATTTTACCTTTTATCCTGTAGTTGCTGAATTATTTTTTTCTCCCTTTCTTTTCTCAATCTATAAGCAAGCCACCTCCCTGGTTTATTCGCATGTTCAAAATAATTCTGTTTTATAAATTTCAATGCCTTTACATAATTTTCCTGTTCTAATATATTCAATTTATGTTTAGCTGCTATCCACTTACCTCTAATTTGCTCATCTCCAGGTTTATCTTGTAATTTTTCTTCCCAATTTTTGATCTCTTCCTGCACATTATTATATTCTTTTTCCCTTTCCTTTTTTTGTTTTACATTGTAGGCTATTGTTAGTCCTCTTGCATATGCTTTCATTGTGTCCCACAGGTTCTGAAGGGAGGTATGGTCTTTTATGTTATCTCTAAAAAATAACTCTAATTCCTTTTTCATTAGCTTTCTATATTCCTTTTCCTTCAGTATCTGTGGGTTCAATGTCCATCTACTCTTTTTCCTTTGATGTCCTTTTCATATCAACATTATAGGGTTATGGTCGGCCGACCATAACTATTTGTTAGCAGTCTTGAACATGCAACAGAGATGATAAAATAATAACAGAATAATACATCAACTCTTAGCACATCACCAGAAAGAACACCAAGTTTAGAAATATTTCAGAATATCTGGCTAAATGACAACCAAGCAGTATTTCAATATAAAACCTGTTTTGGTGGTAAAGAAATGAAAGAAGCCAGTATTCCAAGAGAAGACAGATGACGTGCTTGAGGATTTTACAAATCAGGTTCTGCTGCTTTTTAATCTAGAACATACATTCTGGTAGTAATATACATAAAGGCAAGATACACTCAGGTGAAGTTCAACGCCTGGTGATTGTAATTTTTGTGGCAATTTTATGTTATGGAAATTTCAGTAAGAAAGTCCTTTAGTAAGGAGAACTTTCTTACTGAAAAAACAAGAAGAAAAAAACAGAGAAAAAGTCAAGTATTGACTTACTTGTTACAACAAGGAAGGCTAGAATGGCACTTTAGTGGGAGTATTTTATACTTTGCTGGTTTGCCTTTTGGAATTGCATAGAATGCCTAAGAAATGTGTGAACTATTTAAGCATTTCATACTCTGACATCCCATTTTTGGCATTCTCTAAGATTTCCTAGGCATTCTACAAAATGCCTAACTTTTGATGGTAACAGAAAAATCTCTCTATATATTAGCTATAAATGTATCTTCTTCTAGGGGTTCAGGAGAATGCATAATTAGAAAGGTATGTAGAAAGGCAGGGGGACACTCTCTCTCTCAATCCCAGACCTCCCTTGGCTAAGCCACAGAATCTGAAGGGGAGCTGTAGTTTTTGCCCATGTAGATTTGCTCAGTAAAGGGAAGTCTGGGGATTAAGGGGGCAGGATGGCGATAACAGAGTCGTGGGGTAGAAGAGGAGACACAGTGCCACCAATCTCCACTCTTTTTACCCCCCTTCCCCCACCCACCATGTGCCTTTTAGAATAAAATTCAACTTCTCAACTCTCCTATTTGTAAATTGTGAGATTAAAAATGGGTTTCTGTCTCTCTCTCTCTCTCTCTCTCTCAGCCTGGATCTCTCATTAACTTCCTGGTTTCAGACACGTCTAATTAACCCTCTTGAAACTCCCATCAGAGAACGTGGCTTCTAAACTCCTATTTTAACTTCTTGGTTATCTCTGATGACGTCCCACTCCAAAAACAAAAGGCTTCCTCTTTCAAAATTACTGTGTTTTCATTTCTTAGGGAGAGGAACCTGCGGCTTGCCCCCCTTTAACTGAGCTAACAACTTCTGGCGACCATCAGCCATGCTGGCAACAGGTACCCCCCCCCCCACTCCTGGGTTGTTGTTTTGTTTGTTTGTTTGTTTGTCCTCTTAACCCAAATTTAACACCTCGGTGCTAATGGAACTAAAAAAAAAAAACGGAAGCCCCCAACCCCGCCCCTCCTCCTTTCAGCGCCTCTCCAAGACCAAGTGCCACGCAAAACAAGACCCGTCCAAGGTTTCTAGTCCTCATTGAGCGATGAAAAAAAAGTCTGTCGGGTTACTTCTGAAAGAAACACACACCCCACCACCCCCAATCTGTAGCATTTCTTTCCCTGGGTGACAGCAGGGGTTACGCTCGCCTAAAATACCCCCCACCGAAGTATTATCCTAAAAGCCTACGGCGACCACCCTTCTATATTGGGGAGGGGATAGTGGGGTTTGTTTGTTTTTTTTTGGGGGGGGGGTTGTCAGTCATTAACATTAACAAGAGTTTGAAAGAAAAGAGCAAAAAAAAAGAGCCCGGCCTCCCTCACTCGAGCCACCCGTCCCCGCTCTTTGTGGGACACCTCACAAAGAGGGTCACGAGAGGCATCCCCCCCCCAACCCCGGCTCTCTTCTTCCTCCTCCTCCTCCTCCTCCTCCTCCCGAGGGCCCACCGGGCAAGGCCTCGGAAGCCCCCTCGCCCGCCGCCCCCTCCCTTCCCCAACCGCCTGGAGGCTCCAGCCCGCCGTGCCCACCTCCTGTGGCAGCCATACTGCAGGGGAGGGGAAGGCGGGCCTCAAGAGAGTCTGCCGCTACCGGAGGAGAACCGCCGCGGCTCCCGCCTTTCCACCTCCGTCGGCCGCAGAGAGATGCTGCCGCCGCCTCAGTGATGCTCGCCGCCTCTGTCGGCTCGGCAAAGAACGCCCCACGAGCGCTAGCCGAGACGGGATTGGCCAGCGGCGGCTCCCGAGAGGTTGCTGGGAATTGTAGTTTTTTTTCCCCCTCCTTCAGCCCCCCCCTCCCACCTCCGAAGGTCAGGACGTCAACGTCCCGCGAATTGCACACTGGGAGTTGTGGTTCTTTCAAGGGCCTGTTCAATGAATGATTTCTTTCGCAGGGTTTTGATTTCGCTGCTGATTCTACTGCTGCTGAAATCTCCATTTAGGACCGTTCTTAGGGGGTGGGGTGGGGGAAACATGTCTCTTAATGTCTATGGAGATTCTCAGTCATCCAGGTCATGGTTGTCCCGAAGGTGCTTTTTTTTTTTCAACAGGCCCCTGGACTTTCTGGTTTTTCTTTGAAGACGTTTCGCTTCTCATCCAAGAAGCTTCTTCAGCTCTGACTGGATGGTCCTCCCCAGCATCCAATCAGGGCTGAAGAAACTTCTTGGATGAGAAGCGAAATGTCTTCAAAGAAAAACCAGAAAGTCCAGTTGCCTCTTGAAAAACAGGTAGGTGGGCTAGCCAATGGTTGCACTACTATGCCCTCCATGGTACTCAGATTTAGGGAATGAGTTATTGCTCATTGAGTAATAAGGCATGCCTTATTGAGTAATAAGGCATGTGGCTTGAGTAGCAACCATATGCCTTAATCATCAATCAAGGGTTTACATACTTGACAATTTTAAGAATCTTGGACTTCAACTTCCAGAACTCTTCAACTAATCATGCTGGTTGGGGAATTCTGGGAGCTGAAGTCCACAACTCTGAAAGTTGTCAAGTTTGGAGACCCCTGCACTAGACCAGTCATTGGCCATTCATTGACACAAATGGCTATCTCATAAATACCTAAATATAGGACTATAGAGGAGTCTCCAAGAAACTTTTCTAGCCTTCCCCAGTCAAATATCTTGAAGTTCAGCTATCATTTCTATTCAGCCCACCCAGCGGGAGTTGAAATCTTACACATTTGAAGGACACCAAGTTGGGAAACCTATTTTATCTATCTGCTGACTCTTTGTCTAGGAAGAACAATGATTAAGACAAATACATATCAGTCCTAGTTCTTGTAACAGAAATCCAATCAGTATATTCAAAATAGAAATCATAGCATAGGTCACTCAGTAAAAAGATGTGACCATTATGCATTAGGACAATATAAAGTTTTGAAGGGATGCTTCAGTTTTGATAAAGATGTCTTTGAATGACTGCATCAAAAAGATTCATGGATCAAAGTTCAATATACTAGTGAATTGAATCAGATGACTGCAAAGCATCTTTACAAATTCAATCAATGATTTGATTCTGGGATTGTTACAAGCAACATACAACATTGCGACTTTATTTCTTTATTTGAAGAATGCTGGAGTTGATGAGTTATCTGATACAGATATGAGTTGCCAGCTAATGGATTTTATTTTCCAAACAAACCCTATTATAAGGTTCTTAGACTTAGAATAATTTTATTGTCACTTTGGATGTATACTAATCGGCATACATTAAAATGAAATTTCATTGCATAAAGCTCTTAAAGGGTCACCCAATATACACTACATAAACATGACAAAAATATAAATAAATGAATAAAAATCTTCAATCTTGCTTTAGAATTAAGTTTTGTCACTGCAACCTGTCCAGCCTGGCGTCCAATCAAATCCACCGAGATCATTCCTAGAAAGAAAGAAATTTTCCACTAACTAAGCTAATTCTCCAGTCAACCCTGAACAGATGATTAGAAGCAGAAAAGATGCATCACCCCACAAATGAAAGTCAGGTGAGGTTTTTTCCACTGGCACATAAGCTTGGTATCTTAGAAAGACATTAGTGTGTGAGTGAAATCTACCCTCTAAACCAGTTTCTCAAGCTTGGAAACTTTAAGATGTGCAGACTCCCAGAATTTTGATCTAAATCATTTTTACAAATGTTTATTTTTAAATTGAGATAATGTTATCTTAACCATGAATACAGAAAAAAAAAAGATGCTCTATACTAAAAAATCTGGAGGTTGCTTTGTTGACTTTTCCTTCTCTTGTTACCTGTAGCTTTAAAAAAAAAAATGCAAGGGTGTGCTTTAAAAATTAATGCAAAACTCTTTATCCAGGCTCTGGTGGACTGGTACAATAAAACAAACCTGAATCTATATGTTAATAACACAAAGGAGGTCATTGTAGATTGTAGAAAGAGCTGGCATAGCCATACTCCACTCAGTATCAAGGATGCAGGTGTAGAGGTGGTCAACAGTGTTAAGTATCTGGGTTGCAGATAACTAACAATCTGAACTGGTCTCTCCACACGTCATCCTTAGTGAACTGTACAAACCAGCGTCTGTATTTCCTGCATCAGATGAGGAGAGCACATCTTTCTCCTTCTGTCCTGGCCACTTTTTACAGAGGCATGATTGAGAGCATTTTAACAAACTGCATCACGGTTTGGTTTGGTGGCAGCAGTCAGTGCCTCAGATAGAAAGTCCATACAGAGAGTAGTAAGGATAGCTGAGAAGATTATAGGAAGCTCGCTTCCTGTTATTCAGGATACTGCTTATAGGCGCTATGTGCTTAGAGCTCAAAGCATTGTTAGAGACCCTACACACCCACTTTACAGTCTGTTTCTGTTGCTCCCCTCTAGGAGGAGGTTTCAAAGTATTTCTAGCAGGACTACCAGATTCTGTAACAGCTTTGTTCCCTATGCCAGCGGCCACCAACTGGTAGTCCGTGGATCACTGGTGGTCCGCGAGAAAATGTTGGTGGTCCGCAGAAAAATTATTTGCATTTTTTATATTGCACTAAATCAGGGGTCCTCAAACTACGGTCCCTGGGCCGGAAATGTACAGTGAATGCTTGTGTTGCTGCAGAGAGTCTCTCCCTTTGGGGTCTTTATGCGGGTTGGAGGGGAACAGAAATTTCGACTTGGGGTCTGCTTCAGCCTCCTGGTGTGGGGCTTTGGGTGAAGGCTGGAGGGAAATGCCGCTGGTGGCAAAGAGCCGGAGGGCTTTGTTCCAGTGGGACTGTATCATGGCCTGGAACTGGCTGACCATCTCAGCCCACTGAGCCTCCAGGCACCAGTACTTGGCCTTGCACTCAAGCAGGTCTTCCCTCTGTTTGGAAAGCCTATACTTGTAGTACTCAGTGAGGTGCTTCTGCTGAGCCTCTTTCTCGGTCAGATCCAATTTGAACTGAGCCAGCTGTTTTGCCAACTCTTTCTCATGGTGGCTGCTTAGCTCCAACAACTGCTTCCTATTGGGTCCCTAAGGAGCAGTGGTGGGATTCTGCCAGTTCTAGGCAGTTCAGCCGAACCGTTTGTTAAATTGCTGGCTCGCCCTGCCCCTTGCCCTGCCCCTCCGCACCACTGGGTGAGGGGTGGGCGAGCCAGCAATTTAACAAACGGTTCAGTGTTTTTTTATAATTTTATTGGCCTCACAGCTGCCGCAGAGCTTCAAAGGGCCACCCTACAGCTGATCAGTGTTAAAAGAAAACAAATGAGTAGATCGGTGCCTGCAAATATAAATGGGTAGACCCAGTGGTGGGATTCTACTTTGGTAGAACCGGTTGTTAAGTAGTTAAGCCAGTGGTTGCCAAAGTGGGTGGTACTGCCCCCTGGGGAGGGGTGGGATGCCTTAGGGGGGCGGTAAGTAGCAAGGGGGGTGGCAGAGGGACGCTAGAGGCAAAGGGGGGTGACAGGGAGGCTAAGTGGCAAGGAGGGTGGTCCCCCCTTTGACCTGTGCCTCGCAGCACTTACCTCCTTGCAAGCAAACAGCAAGAAAAAAACAGCCTCTTTCAGCTTCAGCATTGGTTAATTAGCATGATTAGATTGGCCTCCGACTCTCAGCTGATTCGCTCTCAGCTGTTTTGCAGGCTCATTTGCAAGCTCTTATTTTGCAAGCTCTTTGCTTGCTGCAAAGAGTGCTGGAGCAGATTTTTTTTTTCCCTAGCTAAAAGAAAACTGAAAGTAAAGCAGGCTCTGCTGCAATGTGACAAAATGAGGCAGGGAGAGAGATTTCTTTTTCTTTTTCTTTCTCCTCACCAAAAAAGGTAGGTGCAAACAATGGGAAATTTAGGGCAAAAGAAGAGAATTCAAGATTTTAAAACACAAAAGAAAAAAGCTCTATTTAACTAGGGAATTGTAATAATTGAGATACTATTAATTGTATATTGTGTTGAAAGCAGAAATGGTTAAGTTGTGGTTTGGAGGAATATATGGGGGAAATTATTTAGTTTATTATTATTGGTAAATATAATTAATTGATTTGTAAGAAATGGATTGCATGGAAATAATTGGAATATTCATGTTCATATTGATTAATATACAAAAGATAGTTATATAACTAATTGATCTATATTAAAATGTTGAATTTGTATTAAACAACTGTATTACATAATTACATAATTAACCAATGTGAGGATGGATATAAAAATAGATGACAATGGGAAGGGGTATAAAATAGAATAGAAGGGAAAAATTGAATTTGATTAAGATTAGAGATGAGGATGAAGGGTAATATTGGTTTTTTTAAAAAAATAGATGAGGAATAAATATGGCAAAAAGGAAATATAGAAATCGTAAATTTAATTGAAATGACTAAACACTATTTAAATTTGTGAACCAGCCAAATACTCTGTTCAAAGAAAATACATTGTATGTTTGTATGTGTGTTTCTAACTATTGTTATTTATTCATATTTGTTCTTTTTTATTCTTTAAAGTTTAACAAATCATTCTTTATCTTAATATCTTTATATTTGTTTGGGATTGGCTTTCTTCCCATTCATCTTGTTTATTGTACATCAATCTTTCTCCTCAAACCTACCACCTCTCTCTTTTCTTTCCTTCTTACTTTCTCTTCCCCCCCTCTTCTTCTCCTCCCTACTTCCTCTTCCTTTCTCCTTCTCCTCCTCTTTTCCTCCCTCTCTTACCCTCACTCCTACTCTAATTTCCCTTCCCTTCCTTCATCCCTCTCTATTGCTGTATCCTTTTATACATATGGACTACTCAGAGGGCTGAAAAAGTTATTTTTGACTGGTCCTCGCACTTATGACCAGTCCTCCAACTTACGACTGTCCTCACATTTTACGTTTTTGCCCTATCTTGTCACCATGGTGAAGAGAAGCAGCTGTGAAATGAGTGACACGGTTGTTAAGAATGCTACAATGGGCATTAATAATAATAATAATAATAATAATAATAATAATAATAATAATAATAATAATTATTTTATTTCTATACTGCCCTTCTCCCGAAGGACTCAGCCTATTTAAAAACACAAGATAAAACAGCAGTTAAAAATTAAAATGATTAAATAGATTTGGCTCAATTTAATACCCCAGAAATTTAAAATACCCCAATTTAAAATTATCATGTTGATAGGCCAGCCTGGCAGAACAACAGGGTCTTCAGTGCACAGCGAAACACCCGGAGGTCGGAGATCTTACGTATTTCCGGGGGCAGTTCATTCCACAGGGCTGGGACTCCCACAGAGAAGGCCCTCCCCCTGGGTATCGCCAGCTGACATAACTTGGCCGATGGCACCCTGAGGAGACCCTCTCTGTGGGAGCGGACTGGCCGGTGGGAGGCTATTGGTGGCAGAAGACGGTCTCGAAGGTACCTGGGTCCTATGCCATGGAGCGCTTTAAAGGTGGTAACCAACACCTTGAATCGCATCCGGAAGACCACTGGGAGCCAGTGCAGCTCGCGCAGGAGGGGTGTCATGTGGGCACAACGAGTTGCGCCCATAACCACCCGCGCGGTCGCATTCTGGACCATTCTGATGACCAGTCATAAGTGCGAAGACCGGTCAAAAGTGCGAGGACCTGTCAGAAATCACTTTTTTCAGCCCTCTGGGTAGTCCTTTTGTGCACATGGACTACTCAGAGGGCTGAAAAAGTTATTTTTGACTGGTCCTCGCACTTTTGACTAGTCCTCGAACTTACGACTGTCCTCACATTTTACGTTTTTGCCCTATCTTGTCACCATGATGAAGAGAAGCAGTTGTGAAATGAGTGACACGGTTGTTAAGAATGCCGCAACGGGCATAAATGTGAGGATGGTCATAAGTGCAAGGACAGGTCAAAAGTGTGAGGACCAGTCAGAAATGACTTTTTTCAGCCCTCTGAGTAGTCCCTATGCACATAGCCACGCCCACCCGGTCACATGACCAGCCAACCACGCCCACCCGGTCACATGACTACCAAGCCACACCCCCAACTAAGCCACACCCACAGAACTGGTTGTTAAAAAAATTGAATCCCACCACTGCTAAGGAGCCTGGGCGGGCAGGCGAGGAGTGGCTGGGAGGGGAGGGGTGAGTAAAGGCCGGTGAGGTGCCCCTTGACGTGAGTAACATCAAGTGGGCCACACCCACCCAGCCAGTCACATGACCACCTAGCCACGCCCACTCAGCCAGTCATTAGGCAGATCATATTAGTGGTCTGCGGGATTTAAAATTATGAATTTAGTGGCCCCTGAGGTCCAAAAGGTTGGGGATCCCTGCCCTATGCCATTCATCTGTTGAACTTGCAAGATTTGTTTTTCTCACCATGTACATGTATATATCCATAGATATATACTGGGTTGTTCCCAGTAATAATATATATGGGTATAATATATGTGGGTATATATACATAATTTTGTATTTATTTATTTATTTTGTCATGTTTATGTAATGTATATTGGAGGTGG